TGGAGCAATGCAGGTGATGTTTAAGCTAAAGGATTACAGAGGTGCACACATTGAGGTTAAGGCAGTGGAGGACTACAAGTTCCTGAATTCTTCTTATGTTCCAGTCCTTCGACAGTTGGAGTCTGCTAACCTGCAAAGATTTTACTTTGAGAACAAGCTCGAGAATGCTACAAAGGACACAACTAATATGAAGTTTAGGAATCCCAAATATTTGTCAATATTGAACCATTTAAGGTTCTACTTGCCGGAAATGTATCCAAAACTGCATAAAATTTTGTTTTTGGATGATGACATTGTGGTTCAGAAGGACCTTACTGGGCTATGGAAGATTGATATGGATGGCAAGGTGAATGGAGCTGTAGAAACATGTTTCGGATCATTCCATAGATATGCACAGTACATGAATTTCTCGCACCCCTTGATTCGAGAAAAATTCAGTCCAAAGGCTTGTGCATGGGCTTATGGAATGAACTTCTTCGATTTGGATGCTTGGAGAAGGACAAAATGCACAGAAGAGTATCATTACTGGCAGAATCTTGTAAGACTTAACTCTTATTTAGTATTTTATCACAACACTTTAGTCATTCATTATTTTGCATTCTCAAACAACATTTAGTATTGTAACATTGTATCTATTGACGCTATCAAGCTCAATGTTACGTCAATCATTACATTACTAATAATGGTGCTAGAGGCTGCATATTCATATGCTAGAATAGAAATAATTGTACTTTATGTTATGGACTCACAAACCAATCTATTTATTTTTTATGTTGAGACTGTCGTTTCATGTTTAACGTGTTGTGATCATGTTGCTGCAGAACGAGAACAGAACACTATGGAAATTAGGGACACTGCCACCGGGTCTAATCACATATTACTCAACAACAAAGCCACTGGATAAGTCATGGCATGTTCTGGGACTTGGCTATAACCCAAGCATTGACATGGATGAGATCAAGAATGCTGCAGTGGTGCACTTCAACGGGAACATGAAACCATGGCTTGACATTGCACTGTCTCAATTCAAGCCACTTTGGACAAAGTATGTTGACTATGAATTAGAATTCGTTCGGGCCTGCAATTTTGATTTCTGAATTGTTTAATTTGCTCTCACTATGATGTTGTGTCAAGTGTGACGCAGTTTCATTGCTGTTTAGTTTCTGAAATATTATGCTGATACGATTAACATAATTCCTAGCCGGTGCAGGAAAAAGAATCTTTATTTCTCTTATTGTAAAATTCTTTTGTATAGCAATTCTCCCATTTCTTTTTCCTTATTTATTCACATGTTCACAACATTTATGCAAAATAATGTTATTTTTGAAGTATGGTTCATCTGAATTTAATGTTCCACTCTCGCTTTGGTTGTTTTATTTTTTATCACATTAAAAATATTTGTCTAAAATAAACTTTGACTTTTGATTGTGATACTTAAAATTAAGGTTATTAAACTTGAGAGTTTACATAAATTCGTGAAAGTCAAGTAAACTTAACTCGTAAACTCGATCATAAACTCGTAAGAGTTTACTTCAGATGAAAAAAATTATATAGATAATATCTTAATTCAAATAAGTATACAAAATTATATAACTTTAAATAAATAAAATTTATAGATGTATTGTTCACAAAAATAAATATTGTAAAACATAAATACTTGGATTATTGTTATTAATTTTGATACATTTCATTAAATATATAATAAAAAAAGAATTGTAACCGTGTAGAGGACTTATGTTTTATTGTTTAAAAAAACAATTTCTTTTACCTATTACAAAATAGTGTTCAGCTCACTACCTTGTTAAAAAAATAACTTCACTTAACAGTGAATGACGTAGTGGGAAGGAGGCGAGACCAGTATGCATCGGTAAGCGTAATGGCGAACATGAAACACACGTGATAATGACAACAAACGAAGCGTGAACGGAGTGCGATCGAGCGCATGCAATGGCAACCTAAAGGAGGCGAGACGATGACAATGGCCATGGAGAGAAACATAGGGACGCGAGAGATAGTGACAGAGCATGAAACCCTAAATCTCAAACAACTGTTTTTTCTTAAATTTCCCCTTTCAAGCTTCTAAAATCGCTTCAAACTTGCGATTTTACATGATATTACCAAGTTTACACAAAAAACAAGTTTACAATCAAGTTAACTCGGAAGCTATGCCTAAAAACATAAACTCGTTCAAGTTGACAAGTTTAACTCGCGAGTTTAATAACCATACTTAAAATATATATTTTTTTAATTTCTATGCGTACCATTTTTAATTTTGATAACTTTAAATGGTATATCTAATCAAACAATTAAAATAGGTAGTTTATTCTATTAAGACAAAAAATAAAGTTTGTATATAAGAACTAAATGCGTAATTATTATTATTTTGTTCGAATACAACAGTTGTTGCTGTTCAGAACTTTTACCATGCATGGTTTAGCTATAGAAGGACTCAAAATGGAGGAAAGAAAAACTAAAGCAAAAGAAGGTAACAAAGCATTGGCTACCTAGAAAATAAATGTGATNTTAACGTGTTGTGCTCATGTTGCTGCAGAACGAGAACAGAACACTATGGAAATTAGGGACACTGCCACCGGGTCTAATCACATATTACTCAACAACAAAGCCACTGGATAAGTCATGGCATGTTCTGGGACTTGGCTATAACCCAAGCATTGACATGGATGAGATCAAGAATGCTGCAGTGGTGCACTTCAACGGGAACATGAAACCATGGCTTGACATTGCACTGTCTCAATTCAAGCCACTTTGGACAAAGTATGTTGACTATGAATTAGAATTCGTTCGGGCCTGCAATTTTGATTTCTGAATTGTTTAATTTGCTCTCACTATGATGTTGTGTCAAGTGTGACGCAGTTTCATTGCTGTTTAGTTTCTGAAATATTATGCTGATACGATTAACATAATTCCTAGCCGGTGCAGGAAAAAGAATCTTTATTTCTCTTATTGTAAAATTCTTTTGTATAGCAATTCTCCCATTTCTTTTTCCTTATTTATTCACATGTTCACAACATTTATGCAAAATAATGTTGTTTTTGAAGTATGGTTCATCTGAATTTAATGTTCCACTCTCGCTCTGGTTGTTTTATTTTTTATCACATTAAAAATATTTGTCTAAAATAAACTTTGACTTTTGATTGTGATACTTAATTAAGGTTATTAAACTCGGAGAGTTTACATAAATTCGTGAAGTAAACTTAACTCGCAAATTCGATCATAAACTCATAAGAGTTTACTTCAGATGAAAAAAATTATATAGATAATATCTTAATTTAAATAAGTTTATAAAATTATATAATTTTAAATAAATAAAATTTATAGATGTATTGTTCATAAAAATAAATATTATAAAACATAAATACTTGGATTATTGTCATTAGTTTTGATGCATTCCAATAAATATATAATAAAAAAAGAACTGTAGCAGGGTAGAGGACTTATGTTTTATTGTTTAAAAAAACAATTTCTTTTACCTGTTACAAAACAGTGTTCAGCTCACTACCTTGTTAAAAAAATAACTTCACTCAACAGTGAGTGACGTAGTGGGAAGGAGGCGAGACCAATATGCATCGGTAAGCGGAATGACGAGCATGAAACAAACGTGATGATGACAACGAACGAAGCGTGAACGGAGTGCGATCGAGCGCATGTAATGGCAACCTAAAGGAGGCGAGGCGATGACAATGGCTATGGAGAGAAACATAGGGACGCGAGAGATAGTGATAGAGCATGAAACCCTAAATCCCAAACAACTGTTTTTTCTTAATTTTCCCCTTTCAAGCTTCTAAAATCGCTTCAAACTTGCAATTTTACACGATACTATCGAGTTTACACAGAAAACAAGTTTACAATCAAGTTAACTCGGAAGCTATGCCTAGAAACATAAACTCATTCCAGTTGACAGGTTTAACTCGCGAGTTTGATAACTATACTTAAAATATATATTTTTTTAATTTCTACGCGTACCATTTTCAATTTTGATAACTTTAAATGGTATATCTAATCAAACAATCAAAATACGTAATTTATTCTATTAAGACAAAAAATAAAGTTTGTATATAAGAACTAAATGCGTAATTATTATTATTTTGTTCGAATACAACAGTTTTATAGTGTTGCTGTTCAGAACTTTTACCGTGCATGGTTTAGCTATAGAAGGACTCAAAATGGAGGAAAGAAAAACTAAAGCAAAAGAAGGTAACAAAGCATTGGCTACCTAGAAAATAAATGTGATCTATACAAAAATGTTATTTTAAAATTAGTTATGTATCAGTTTAGAATTTTGTAAAGAAAAATTTGAAATGCAAATAATATGTTTTATTTTATTTACAAATTAAATTTTAATACACGTGACTTATTTATTTATTTAAAATATAAAGAACAAAAAGATGTAATCCATAATAAATTTTAAAATTTGTGTTATATTTAGATAAAACGAGCGTGGAAGCAGAAATTGAAAGAAAGGGCGCCATTTCCAAATTGTGAAGGGGGTTGAACAGCAACACTATATTATCCGTTCATAAATAAATACCCCTAATTTTTCCCTCTCCTAAAAATTAATAACTAATTAATTCAAGAAACAAACAAAAAAGATCTGTCTTCTCCTCTGCCATCGTATTTCAGGAATGAGAAGGNTGCATGGTTTAGCTATAGAAGGACTCAAAATGGAGGAAAGAAAAACTAAAGCAAAAGAAGGTAACAAAGCATTGGCTACCTAGAAAATAAATGTGATCTATACAAAAATGTTATTTTAAAATTAGTTATATATCAGTTTAGAATTTTGTAAAGAAAAATTTGAAATGCAAATAATATGTTTTATTTTATTTACAAATTAAATTTTAATACACGTGACTTATTTATTTATTTAAAATATAAAGAACAAAAAGATGTAATCCATAATAAATTTTAAAATTTGTGTTATATTTAGATAAAACGAGCGTGGAAGCAGAAATTGAAAGAAAGGGCGCCATTTCCAAATTGTGAAGGGGGTTGAACAGCAACACTATATTATCCGTTCATAAATAAATACCCCTAATTTTTCCCTCTCCTAAAAATTAATAACTAATTAATTCAAGAAACAAACAAAAAAGATCTGTCTTCTCCTCTGCCATCGTATTTCAGGAATGAGAAGGTTGCCGCGCCTTCTCCTCCGCCGTGAATGAGCTTCCTCCGCCGCCACCATGCCGGCCACGCGTCCTTCCTCCGATCTGATTCTCCATCGCCTCGCCTCCTCTGATTGCGAAATCAAACTCAAAGCCATTCGAGAGGTTAAGAACCAGATCATCGGCAACCGCACCAAAAAACTCTCCTACATCAAGCTCGGCGCCGTCCCCGTCCTCGCTGCTGTTCTCGCCGGCGCTGATGCTGATTCCACTCCCGGCTCCAGCCTCATCGTCCAGTCCGCTGCCGCGCTTGGCAGCTTCGCCTGCGGCGTCGACGCCGGCGTCCGCGCCGTTCTCGACGCCGGAGCTTTCCCTCATTTAATCCGGCTCCTCTCTGCCGCTGACGACAAGGTAAATTCGATTAGTTACAGCGTTTTTTTTTTCTCGAGTTTCTTTTTCGTATTTTGTTTCTCAGACATTGGTGCTTAAGATGATGTTGTGTTGCGAGAAATGATGAGCAGCTGTTTGCATTTCTGTCATACATTCGAAGTTCGGAATGGAATAACTGTTTGGAAATAGTAATGTGTTTATCTTGTAATCAACTGCAGTTTTTTGAACGTGTGCATTTTAGTTTGTTCGTCATCCTGTCTTTCTATGTCTTTGTTAGGTTGTGTCATGTTGATGTAGTGTAACCTTGCTACGTTTCTGTTGGTACTGGTTACTATGGTAACGGCAAGAACTACATATATTTTTTAGGAGATGATAGGGTGGAGCCCAGGGATGGAAAAATGGAACGTTAAGTGAATGCCATTAGTAAAGAAATTGGAAGGGCCAAGAATTGGCTTCATATCCTTGGCATAGTAAAATTGGGAACACAAAGGAGTCTAATTGTTAATGTCCTCATAACTTATATTTTCCTACCGTTACATGAAACATTTTTTAATGCGATGTATGCTTGAATAAATGTTGTTTTTGTTTCGCTGCATCTAGTGGGTATTTAGGCTGTTGACAATAGTTGTGAGGGCTAGATCGATTACGATCTAATGCAGTCAGTGGGGTGTGGACATGATCTACCAAGTTAATGACTTTGTACTTTCATATTTTAGTGTAGGTTGAATGACAGAGGTTTCAGGAATGCATTCGTTATTGTTTCTATTTAACCTTAATATTTTTCAAGACTTCTTTATGCCTTTTATTCTATCGTGTCATGCAGTGGTTACAACAAAACATACCTGCCTAACCTTCATTAATATTTTTGTGATATGTGATATACGTGTTATTTTTCTCCTTTCTAATGATCTAATAGACTTGACTCCCTTTGGTTTCAGGTCGTAGATGCTGCTGCTCGCTCTTTAAGAATGATTTATCAATCAAAACTAGCTCCGAAGTATGATTTTTATAAAGAACAAGACATGGGATTTCTTCTTTCACTACTGAAAAGTGGAAATGAAAATCTTACCGGACTAGGCGCAAGCATTGTTATTCATTCTTGTGAGACAAGTGATGAACAAAATATATTATGCCGTGCTGGTGCTATAGAAAAACTTATTAATCTTCTTGATGGTTCTCTAAGCCAACGAGATTCTAGTTTAGAGTCCATTGCTGCAATTCTTAAAAACAATCCAGAAGTTGTCTCTAAATTTGTGGACCTTCAAAATCGAAGAGCTTTGAGTTCAATAATTGAATTAACCAAGGACAGGTATTCTCAGACAAGGTTATTAGCATCCCTGTGCCTGATTTGTGTAAAGAATTCCTCTTCTTGCTATCTACAAGACACAGGAATTGAAACCAAATTGATAAATATTTTACTTGAGCTCCTGGATGATTCCGGTAAAGTTGGAGACAATGCTTGCTTTGCCTTTTCAAGTTTAGTTGCTGAAAAAGATGTGCAGAAATTAGCATTTGAGGCAAATGCTATAGATAAGTTCAACAGTCACTTGCAAAATTGTGCTTTACATCCCAAACGTCTTGAAGGAATATTTCTAGCCCTAGCTGCTCTTTGCTCAAAATTTGAGTGTTGCCGGTCTAAGTTTCTTTCATTGCAGGTCTGTTGTTTCATGGAAACTACTAGTAAAACTCGTATATTTTTTTTT